ACATTATGAATAAAACAAAATTATTAACATCAATATTTTTATTTACAAAACTTAAATTACTAACTAAGCTTGATATCATAAATTAAATAATGCATAATAAGGAAGCCACAACTGTATAAATTACTACACACATACAAGCTAAAGTATAAAAGATTAGTAGAACTCAAATTGGCTACAACAGTTCTTAAATATGTAAACTGTTTATATTAATATGATACAAAGATACAAAAAAATAAAAATACAAAGTTTGATATAATTTGATTTGAGGGAAAGAACACATACTAATCAAAGTCATAATCAGATACATTACCTACATCTACAAACTCTATATTTTCCTTATCTTCACAAGAAGTTAATAATAATGATTTAGCTTCATTTGTGAGAGGTTTATTTCGTTGACATATTTTAGGCCTGAAACTTGATAGGTATGGGTCAGACGATATTAACAAATTATTGATAATATCTTCATTTGTTGCAATCCTGCTAGATTTACGCGAGTGGAAGGTTCTGAAGTTTTTAAAATCTTTGTTACGAGCTTCAGAGGCCTCTTCAGAGAGCTTGCCGATTGGTATAAAGTTATTGTGCTCTATTATATCGGCACCATGAATGAGTAATTTATGCACGCTTGAGGGCATATAATACCATTCATAGAGCTCGACATATTTGCGTGCTGTAGCAGCACAATATTGGCGGAATTTTTCCACGTCCACAAACTCTCCACATGAGATAGCCTGAAGAATCACTCCAAATCTTCTAACGAGTTCTTCATCAACACCCGTTATTTGAGCAGTAATTTGAGGATTAACAAAAAATCTTCTTGCTGTGTTTCCATCGTTGCTTGTACCAGCCCCTTGTTTAACAACGTCCACAAGTAGCCCCGTTTCAGTCCGGAATTGTTCTTGAATAGCCTTTTTTCTTTGGCTTAACTGTTGCTTCAAATCTTCGCCCTTAGCTTGCCATTTCTTGAAGTCGAGACGGTAAGCAATATGTAAGATACATTCCATGCATCTAATTCGTGCATGGAGGGAAGACAGACCGAACTTAAACATGTCTACAGACTGGGTTCTCTGAGTAACCTTGTCGATATCATTCATTTCTTTTGGTTTTGCTTTGCATATATCGCATGTAGCTGTGGATGTATCTGATAAATGTGAAGTTATTTTACCATCAATCATCGTCATATGCAGAACGTATTTTACATTTGCACCATCGATAACAGTTGGATGTAGAGCAGCAATTTCCGTGTCAATTGAAGTCATTTCTTCTTTAACATTCAAATCGTTCTCTATAGCAAACTTAAAATAAATGGGTCGACAGTAAAACGTTGAAGACGCTTTGGGGTTTTCCCATATTATTTCATCAGTACCATCTCTCACCAGTTTTAACGGCACAAATGAACACATGAAGATGATTGAATCATCGCCGTCAATTTTTTGTTGGTAGTTGCTTTGCCCAGATGCACCGTCAAACCCCCATTTACTGATAAGAGTCGAATTACTGCCAGTTAAATCAGTTTCCAGAGTTTTTAATAGTCTCTTGACCGTAATATCTAAAATAGACTGAAGTTTAAGTTTAACTTCAGTCTCAGTTATTACCATGTCTTCTTTTTCAACGTAGCACTCCTTCTCTTGCTTCAAAGCATCATACGATGGAAGTATATCACACCCCATGTCTCTCATTGTCTGCCTCAATGTAATATACTGCCATTTCGATAATTTCAGTGATGTTGAAATACCGAGTGCCTTATCGGTATGACAAGTTCGTTTCGTCGATTTCAGGCAGGCTCGCAGCATTGGCGCATCTTCAGGCTTTTTAATCAAATGCTTCACTAATTCTACAAAGTCCGTTTGGTTTTCATTTTCCGCTTTCCTAGCCAGGGCATAAGCAAGTGTCTCAAAATCGTTTTCGGCAATGAGATTTTCAGTTCTTCTTTTTTGCAGTGGACTCAAATTGGCAAATTCTTTTCGAGGACTAAATGTAGCGGTTGATGTCGACACAGCCACACTATGAGGAACAGTGTCTTCAGTTATGTCTAGTGAAACAATCGAGTACTTTTTGAAATAACATGTCGGCACTAAAAGATTTTTGCCTCATATATATATATATACGTCGAGATTAGACACAAGCCCTTCCATTCTGAGCAACTTAAAATTTGAGCAAAGAGAACGTTACGGTACGAATCAATAATGATAAGTGAAATGAAATACAGGTGTACTCCGTATTTATTATAATCGAAGTCATTGTTGAATAATAATAATAACAACGTATTATTTATTCACCTACCCACAATAAAAGCAAATAATCAGTAATTATAATAGGCAAACAACGGCAGGTAATGACTGTGGGTAACCCTTTGAATTCCTCAAAACCTGCAACAATAGAGTTTGTATTGTTTATATGTAATGATGCTCTCGTTAATGGCGCGCGGCTTTTAAGCGATTGTCAAACAAAAGATTAAATTGTAGGCTGTAAAGGACTTCATTGTAATTCTTTACAATATTGTATTCTTGTTTTCTTTTTCTTAAAACTATTTCTTTTATCTATTTATATTAATTCCATATCTTTTGAATAAGGACGCTTTTATTTAAAGTTAAGTTGTATGGTGTCGTTATCTATATATATATATATATGTATAGTTTTATTAGATAATAATCTGCGCTGTATTAATAACTAAATGCTGGGCAAGAAACATAAACAAACTGTTTATTGAGACACATAACCCCGTAAAGCAAAATTACCCTAATAAGCATTTTGAAAAATTCGTATCTTTTGAACGGGGCCGTCCGGGGTGAAGGTCAAAGGTCACATGGCTTCGTAACAGACCCGGTAATAATCCCTATTAGTTTCAGCTTGACCGTAGAAGACCGAGACAAGTTATGAGCAAAACAAATTCCGTTTTCATACATTTGAAACTCTAAAGCCCGTGCTTTATGGTGTTAGATTAAAAGGAAATTCCCCAACCTATTTTATTATTCAATGTACTGATATGTCCAATAAAACCGCATACCTTAAACGGATAATATACATTTTTATTTTTTCAAAAATCCTATGAAAGGGGACCTCTTTTTTTCACCCACTGTGCGGCGCCTCGCCCGCGACAACACAGATCATGTGATAGCACCTTAAAATAGCAGGTACGAAGAGCGAGTTACAGGGACAGCTACATAACAGACGATGCGTTTGAATATCACAAATATTTTCTATTAAATCAGTTTATAGTAAATATTAGAACAAAATTAGCTTCAAATGCAATAAATTAACAAACATTGATTAGATACTTACCTGTCAAAAACCCGACTCTGTATACTAAATATATAATAAAACTATAACTACTTATTAGTATTTTCTTTTCGCATTTTTCCACGGAGCTCTACGGCATGTTTACTTTACAATGGCCCGCGCCTTACTGTGAGTGAACCAAGAACTCCAAGAAGTGCTTGAGTGGAGTTCAAGCACTTTTGAGCGCACGTGGTGTTATCTTAATATCGTTGGTAGGTACTCAAAAATTTATCAAAACTATCTTGCGATTGGAGTCTGTAAAGGGTCGGAAACGTAAAGCATGATAAAAAAAAACAAAAATTTGCTTTACACCTTTATTCATTATATTATAACAATTTATATTACATTATACTTATTATGTATATTATAGTATTTTTTTCTATGCTACTAATAATTTTTTTTTCAAAATTAGTTCCTATTTAATTAAAATATTTAAGCTTGATGCAATACCCTTACAGGGTCATGTTAATTTCCTTCCAATCTTCTCAATGCAAAGATTGTCTGGAAGAAATCGCTTTTAGTGATAAAACCCATTGAAGCTCCGTATTTCTGAGCTGTGGTCTTCTCAAACTTACGTAAGTTATTGTGTATTGAAATTGCTGTCAACGTGTCACTGGGAACATTAAATACCTATTGCGGAGTTGATTTCAGCAATATTATCATTATTATTCATTTATTTTGGCACCAAACAATCATTGACATAATATTGAGGTACATTGAATATTAGTTATTATTAAGAGACCAAGCAGTGCCCAATCTTAAGCTATTGTTGCTCAACAAAATAAATGTTTTTTTGGAGTTTACTCCTTAAGAATCGATTTGCATATATAAGGGGCCCGGTATGAGAAAAATGTGAGGAGTAAAATCTATCGATGAATGATCTCGTTACGTTTTTGGTGCGCATCCTATGTCGCGCAACTTTGACAAACAAAGATGACGGATTGACATTAATAAAAATTTTAAAATCTGAACTGAATTTAGATATTGTTTCTGATAGAGCAATGGGGACAACGAGGTATGGTACAACCATTGATGCGGTATTTTCAAGATTCGTGAACCACGTATCTACGAACATCCATGTGTCTTATTTTAGTTACCACAAACCACTTGTCACTGTAATTAATAATGCAGACTATGTTGATTTAATTAATATTTAAAAAAATGATAATAGTCTGAAAATAATAATTACATAATTTATCAACATTCCTAATGATATATTTATGCACATCTAAAATTGACTATTGTAAAAAGTTTAATGTAAAATATTTCGTCGATTAGTTATAATAAATGTATATGAAATGAATAAATATATATTTATATATGTATATTATTTTCATTAATTTGTTAATTTACCCTTTCATACAGTATCAATGATTTTTAAGTTAAATAAACTCTTTTTGCGTCTGGTTAGACTATCGAACTTAAGGAGTAAACTCCAGTCGTGCGTCGGAACTGACACACACAATTTTTTTTGTTTCGTTTTTTATAATATATAATACCTACCTTAACTAATCTCCAAGACTACGGGGGGTAAGGTAAAAAATAAATATTTCCAACACTTACACCAAATAGCCCATCCAAGTAAGCACTGTAAGGCATGTGTGATGGAGTACTAGAATACAAATATACTGTATATCTATAAGTATATTTATATAGAAATACATATTAAACATCCACGACTGGAGTACAAATGCTCGTATTCATCACATAAACATCTGCCCTCACCGGGATTCGAACCCGGGACCTCTCGAGTAGGCGATACCATGAAACGCCGCGTACAAGCCACTCGGCCACGCGTAGGCTAGGCAAGGACTTCCACCTCGGTCGGGTTCCGATCCACCGATCTGTTGGGGTGGGTGGAAGAATTGGGAGAAAGATTAAAGTATGAAGAAGATGAATAGGATAGGGAAAACTTACATACAAAATATATTACTTCCTTGCCAGGTAAAAATAGTAAGTCCCCTGTAGTTAGGTGTAAAACTTAAAGTACCGATTGACACTCTGTTTGCATCTTTGTCAGATCCAAATGAATTTTCTTTAAAGTATCTTCAGTTCTTTTAGTTTTTTCAATTTTTATATTGTCCTCCAAGTCCACTATGTCTCTAGCTATAGCACCTGTGTCGTTGACTAAAGTCACAATTGAACCACATTCTGAATGTAACAGAGCTAACAGTTTATAGGCTTTCTTGGCTTGATCATCTTTCTTTGCATCCTAAAAATAAATGAGAATTTATAAGCATCAAGATTAGCTAGGTTTCCTATTCAAATTTCATGAACTTCACGAAAAATGCGACGTGACGTGTCCAAGTGTGCTCAGTCGAACATCTATATCAGTATTTATTATAATGATTCGTCATTAACGTCGAATGTACAAATATATTTTTTTTATACAAAGCGCAACAAATTATCCCACCGCACTTGATACTTAATATGTAAGTGAGATATCTATTGAGAAAAATAAAAGTTGATGCGGCAGAAAAATCGGGAAGCGTGTGGTGCAGAATTCTGCTTCCGACATTTGTTTGTTGAAGTCAACAATGATAGCTGAATCGAAAAGCCAAGAGATTTCCTTTCTTGTACATGCAAAGAAGACTCTGACTCCTGCGAGCATGGAGTTCAAGCGCGCAGTGTTTAGCTCGTTTTGACTGTGATTGTTGAAGTTAGGCAACCTTCGTAATGGCTTGTCATTGGATGGGTGACCAAAAATTTATACCCTCGAGATAGTTTGTGCTTTGTTCATCGCTTCATTTGCAGTCGGTAGAACCCACCAATCCGCACTGGGCCCGTATGGTTTGTCATCATGGTGGCCCAATCTCCCTATCCCATGTTAATGGAAGCCTAACGCAGCAGTAGAGACATTAAAGTATGATGATGATGCATCTTCATCATCTGCTTAAAATCACTCGAAATAACTCATTCAATATAGAATATGTACGTTAAGCACCTTATTTATATTATGTCGTGTGAGGCGGGTCGTTACGTTCCCTAAAAAATGGTTGAGCGAAGCGATGGCTGGTTCATACGCCAAGGTTGTGAACGGGTGCTGCCAGCGGAGATTACTCTACTCTTACTACATTGGGTACTATTAATCGTTGTATTAAAGTTTAATCGTAATTTTTTTATGCCTAAACAGTAGGACATGGCATTCCTAAACTTTGTTAAATCAGTTTTGTTTATTTTTTTGTATAGTCATAATTTTTATATCATTTACATTTGTAATAGAAAGTGCTCCATGAGTTATCTCATATTGAAGTCATTTTTCAATCTGATGACTGTATATAAAACAAGGGGAAAAAAACAACCCTTGCTGAATATTTGTGTTCCGCTGAATGTTCTTCTCAGTACAAGGTCTCCCGCCGTAGATTTGCGAACCGACACTACGACGTAGCATTTCGACATTCTCTAATGCTTGTGAATAAACAGCCTAGTAGACTGAATAAAGTATATTGAATCTTTCGAATGGAATACGTTTTGCTAAAAACATGCTTATATTGGAGTAACCTTTCAAAACAAAAATGTCCCAAATTGAAACCGTTATACATAGTGTTGCCCAAATTCAGTCTTGGTCTTGTTCTTGCATTTTTGCAAGACCAAGACCAAGAACAAGACCGCGTTTTTTTAGCAAGACCAAGACTGACCGTGCAAGACTTGAGCAAGAACAAGACTAATCCGGCAAGACTCTTGCGTCTTGCAGCTAGGACTTAGCGCTATTTCACAGAGTAGTTAGGTATAACAGTTCGGTGTATAGGTACGCTTAGGTATTCTATGAGACGCAAAAAACTGTATCAAAGAATATGAAAAACTGGACCTATGCGCATTACGACCAATACCATAAACATACATAGCGAATAGAAAAATATCCATTAAAATCAAACAGAGTGCATGCATAGTTTTCATGGTCATGCGGAGATCGCGCGGGGCGCGGTATTGATAACAGACGTGTTTTTTTCGCGCGCCTGGTTTTTAAAATTAATGATCAGTAAATTTGTGAATTTCCTTGTGAGAAAGTGATCAGTGTACTCCTTGACACAGGACCTTCCAAACAGTGTAAATTGGGCACCGAAAAGTGTTTTCGTTTTTAAACAGTGAACGTTTTTAATAGTGTTAACAGCTAAATCAATCGCGGCACATCAGCTGTGTGTGAGTCACGTGTACGATCATGTGCATCGTCGGTTCACTGACCCTTGTTCATGCATAAGCCGATAGTTGTAATACGGCCTGTTATTTTGCCAAACTAAGTAAAGACATTGTGGCGCCGTTGATGCAACAGTTGACTGGTTGACCATTTGGTCCGGAGATCAAATCACAAGGACAAATGTTTTTGTTTATTATCTATTTTTTATTCTGCATTTAAAAGTTTGTGTGTATTTTAACTTTTTTTTTAATAATAATAACATATATATACTCGTATACATATATTTTATCAATCTAATTTCGAAATGCCAAATGATAAAATTCTTTCTTCCACGTGTCATAGAAGACAGGCGGTTTCTGTCTTGCGGTGGCTGCGGTCAGCATTATGACTTGGACTGTGCCAATGTCTCGGAGCAGCGTTTCTACAATACGTTGACAGGAGAACAAGCCTGGAGATACGTCCTATGCAAGAGTAGGCAGCCCAAATCAGACAATACAAATACTCCTGTACGTGCTACTGCTGATGGAGTCACTGTTCAGCGGGGAGCTGCAGCAGGAAGTCCAGTGTATATGGAAATGTCCATAACTGAGCAGTCTCCCAGTGGCTCCGTTGAAAGTATAAACATTGATGTTGGTGATTTTCAAGCCTTCGTATTGGAGATGCGCTCATTTAGGCAAGAAATGCGAGATGAGTTAAGGGCTAATAGGGCAAAAATAGAACAGCTCAATGACACCGTGGTTGCCCTTACTAGCAGAGTTACTGGGTGCGAGGATCGTATTGCGAAGATTGACGAGCGAGTAAATGAGTTGGAGAAAAGCGTTCGTTCGGAGCATGTCGATCCCACCCTATTGGCCACCGTCGAGCAATTGAAAGCGGAGTTAAATGAAGGAGACCAAGAACTGCTACTAAATGACATTGAAATTTCGTCCATTCAAGAACAAAAGGGGGAGGGGTTGCTTCACATTGTTTGCGTCTTGGCGGTGAAGTTGGGTGTGAACTTGGCAGCTCAGGACATTGAGCGTAACGCGCGTCGGCCGTGCGCCGGAGCCAGCAGAAGCAGAGTCATCTGTCCCATTCGTTCCATCCCGCCCACGCCCCATCGTGGTTCATCTAGCACGAAGAGTTGTGCGCGATGAAAGACAGGGCTCCCGGGCACACCACACCGATTCTATGTGAATGAGAGGTTGTCAAAAGTCAACAGGCAGCTGTTTCGACGGACGCGCGAGCTGGCTGACAAGTGGAACTGGAGATACGCGTGAACAAGGGATGGCCGTATCTTTGTGCGTCAAGGGAAAAGTGCCCCACGGCACCGCATACGTAGTGAAGCTGATCTTGCTCGGGTTTTTGGTTTGGAGGCAGTTTGTACGGTCGGTTGATATTAATGCTGAATAATCCCACAAGTCGTAATTTTCATTTAATCCAGTTTTGTTTAATCATAATATTGTTTACTTGCTACTATTATTCTGCTTTGCATCTCGGCTTTAAATTCTGCTTTAATCAATTTCTTAATATTTATTTTTGTAAGATACGCTATACGCCTTTTTTGCTAGTTATATTGCTGTTCTACAATAAACCAATTGCTTGCGATGGAATGATTATACCAATTACCTGCGATACCCCACTGCTTTTACACTCTAGTAATTCTGTGCTTTTTGTATCATATATATTACTAGCTGACCCAGCGAACTTCGTACCGCCCTAAAAAAATAGGGGTTGTCCAGCGGACAAAATTGTGAATCTAAACCATTCTCAGATCCCCTTGAACACACACAAAAAATTTCATCAAAATCGGTCCAGTCGTTTAAGAGAAATTCAGTGACATACACACTCACAGAAGAATTATATATATAAAGATTTATATTGCTATACTGTAACATTGCGTGTAATATTATTTTGCTTTTAATACTAAGTAATTGTACGATTTTTGTAATTTTAATTGTGCTTTGCTATTGTTGTAATGAGATGATGATTTTTTAAACTTTTTCTTGAACTATTTAGCAATGAGTTGCTTTTATTACTTTTAATATTGCTATTTTGTAACAATACTATGAGTGTAAATAATGTTGAAAATCAAATTGTGCTTGTTATGTTTGTAGATGATAGTAGTAATGATGTCATTTGTAAACTAATTTACTGTTATAGATTTCTTTCGAGGCATCATAATTTTTGATGATTATAAGGTTGTTGTATATAAATTTATTTTATTCTAAGTTTTTTATGGTTACGTGTGCCGCAGCGATACAACATAAACGTATATGTGCATATAAATATGCTTTTTACTTTGTATTATTATGCGTTGTAAATATCACTGATTTTATTTTGATGATTCTGGAACGGGCATTTTACTTAATCCTTAGTTTGTGCATATTTATTTTATACAATTTTACATTAGTGTATTATACCATTTTTAATACACGTGTTGTAAATGTCATTGGTTTTAATGTGATGATACTGGAATGGACATTTTACTTAATCAATTATAATTGATGCATATTCACTTTATACAATTTTAAATTAATTTATTTTACCAATTTTATTCTTATTTTATTAATTATTTATTTATTATTCAATTACTGTTATTTATCTAAGCGAAAATGACTTCCAAAACTAAATTTCTTAAGTTAGCTTTGTATAATGCAGGATCGTTATGCACGGGACATGATGATTTTCTTATTGCAATGAGCCGCTTTGAGGCTTTCGATCTCAGCCATAAGCTCAGGTTGCGACGAAATGATTCTGCCGTCCTCTGTCTTCAGCTTCGTCAGCAAACTCTGTCCAAGAGACAGATTTCTTGCGAACACTTTCGAGCCTTTGTTCCGCTCGATGGCCTCTTTAATACGATCAGTATTAAAGCGGCGTATGTCGCGAGTCAGAGACTTCGAAATCTGCCTATTGAGCTGCCGACGTGCATCTTCAGAGGACTGCAGACCCATCTCACGCCTTTTCTCCATGAGCTTGAGAGTCGGCTCCGAGATCTTGCTACGTTTTTTGGTACGGATGGGCTTGCAGAACTTCGAGCCCACCATAAGGACAGCTTCAACAAACCTGTCATTATAATTGTCCACGTCTACGTAGCTCTCTAGGCAATCGAAGCGATTTTGCAGTTCGAGTTGAAAGCGCTCGGGGTTTTGGATCTGGATGGCTTCAGGACGGAGCGTGGACTTCATCAGTCGATTCCTTTCGGCTTTGACATTTAGATTCAATGTGCCTCTTACCATTCGGTGATCGCTTCCCGTATTGAACGAATTGATCACTGAGACATCATTGAATATCCGAGTCTTAGTTGACATGATGAAGTCAATCTCATTTTTTGTCACGCCGTCCGGACTTTTCCAGGTCCATTTTCGATGCAGCCGTTTTCTGAAGAAGGAGTTCATCATAAAGAGTCCCTCCTTCTCCATGTAATCGGCTAGCATTTGACCTCGGAAGTTCCGGATTCCAACTCCAAATTGCCCCACTTTCAACTCATCATCGCCACGTTTGCCCAGCCTTGCGTTGAAGTCCCCCATGACAACGGTGTAATGGGTCCTGGAAGCATGCATTGCCCGAGAAATATCCTCATACATGACTTCCACTTCCTCGTCGGGGTGCGTCGAGGTCGGAGCGTATACCTGTACTATGTCATCGTTATGGGGGATTTTAATATCAATATGCTTAATACGGTCAGTAAGTATGTCTCAAGGGTTAATGAGTTTTTACACACTTTGGACCTTAAGCAGTTTGTAAAAGAGCCTACACATTCACCCGTTGATACTAACACGTTAATTGATCTTGTCTACACTAACTGTGGTGCTCGTGATCTAACGGTCACAAATATTACCGGAAACTTAGGTCATTCAATGATAAATTTCAATATCCCGTTGAAGAAAAGTAAAGTTCCGCCTCGTGTTATCACCTCTTGACCACTTAATAAGATCAATATGACAAAATTTAGTGAGGATCTTTATGCTATGGACTGGGATTCTGTTTCTGCTTTGTCTAGAGTGGAGCGTATGATTGAACGTTTTAACCTGCTTCTTTTGTCACTTTTTAACAAACACGCTCCGCTGAAAACAGTTAAATTTAAAACTAACCAATCCCTACCTTGGATAACGGAAACGATAAAGCTCATGATTAATTTGCGTATGAGCTTCATGCTCATAAAACATATCGTGAGTCCAAACTCGATATACACAAACAATATTATAGGGATCTCAAAACTTTGGTGTCAACAAGTATTAATAATGAGAAGCGAGCTTACTATGACCACTATATTAATTCAAATAATAGTAATAGCAAAACGTTTTGGAGAAACTTCAAGGACACAGTTCTGCCCGATACTAAGGGTGATTTTACCTTCCAGATTGCTTTAGTGATCCAAACGTAATCAATGATCACTTTTTGAAAACGCCTGGGTCAGACAAAATTGATACTTCGCTGCTCTCTTATTTTCAAAGACACAGATTTCATACTACAAAATCTCCTTTTAAGCTACATACTGTCACTGAAACTGACGTTTCCAATTACTTTTTATCTATAAAATCTAATGCCGTTGGCAGTGACGGTATAAGCAGGGACATGATTTTGCTCACCCTTCCAAGGACACTATCAGTTACGGATATAGTAAACAAATCTTTAATCACAGTTGTGGTACCTCATCAGTGGAAGTCAGCACTAATAACGCCAATCCCTAAAATTGATCCTCCGACTGAGCTTAAAGACCTAAGACCTATTAGTATTTTACCTTTTTATCAAAAATCTTGGAAAAGGCTGTATATAGTCAATTAATTAAATACGTTGAAGATAATGAAATTTAGCCAATCTTTCAATCGGGGTTTCGTAAGGGTCGTGGTACTGTTACATCTTTACTCGATGTTACAGATAATATATTAGCTGAACAGGACGCAGGAAGAAGTACTATGCTGGCTCTGCTGGAATTTTCTCGTGCATTTGATTGCTTAAACGTTCCATTACTACTTGCAAAATTAACTTTTTACGGTTTGGAACCTCACTCAGTTAAATGGTTCAGTAGCTACTTTAGTGACCGGAACCAAGCGGTACGGCTTCGTAGGGAGAATGGATCTTTCCTTACTTCTGAACCAAAACCGATGTCACGTGGTGTCCCTCAGGGTTCAATACTTGGACCGCTTCTTTTCATTATATACAGTGCGGATCTGTCAAAAGTAATAAAAAACTGTAAATTTCACTTCTATGCAGATGATGTTCAGCTATATATCTCCGAAAAACCTGCTAAAATATCTCAGGCGGTCAGCAAATTAAACGAAAATTTGAATTCCATAGCTTCCTGGTCTAAAGACAATGCTCTCGTACTGAATCCGTCCAAATCGAAGTGTATGCTAATAGGTACCAAAAAGCAAACCGAAACATTTGCGCTCTGTGAATCGTTGATCCTATCAAGGCTCAACTATGGTAACTTGGTCTATGGTCCGCGCTTCTTGTACAGAACAAAGAAAATTATACAGCGTGTGCAAAATGCTTGTGCCCGCTTTTGCTTCCATATTCCTCCACGTACGCATGTATCACCATACCTAAATAATGCTTCTATGCTAAACATAGAGTCGCGTAGGCATTTGCATCTTGCCATGCTCATGTTCAATGTAGTGAAATATAAGAATCCTGAATATTTATATAATAAACTAAAGTATTCTACTTTTCACCATCACTACGGTTCTGGTGTCCCCAGGCACGTAAGGGCTCCTTTGAGCACCCACCAGCACAGAACTGTTGGCTTCACTGGCAGTTTCCGCTACCAAGCGACTAAATGCTGGAATAACATACCTCCACCCTTAAGACTAATTCCGTGCAGACAGACTTTTAAAACACATCTGTAATCATTTTTATTAGAACAACAGAAAATTGGAATATCCAGAAATTAGTTGCTTGGGTGCGGAGTTGTCGGCGTTGGTGTTGTGTGCTCTAATTTTAATTTTATTTTCACTGAAACTATTTTCTTTGGATTTAAACATCAAGCAGTTACATGCTTAAAAAATAAAATTATAAATATTTTCTCACTGATCAATTTATCAATTTTGTTTTCTTTGTTTTTATGTTTATGTAAAAGTACCATAACAATTATATGTCCAATGAATGTTTAATTAATTTTTGTATTTTATTTAATTTTAATTTCGTTTATTGTAATGTGAATTTTAATCTGACATTTAATTGCGTGACCTCATCTATATGGGTCAGAACTGAAAATCCGCGATTTACTCTCGGAGTAAATGTTACGCTGAGTTTTCGCCCATTCGCATCGCTGCTGCACGAAAATATCAGTATAGTTATATAAATATAATTTGTTGTATGTTTTAAAGGATTTATTTAATTGTAAAATTTGTCTTCAATTTTGTATGTGTGCATGTTGGTGTGAATAAAGTTTTATCTAGCTATCTATCTATCTTTTGTTTTAACCATCGGCACTTTGATAATGCGGCATCAAAGGTTTTTGTACTGACTTCTCAAAGAAATTTGCCGCTTTTCGGAAGTACATGGTGATGATACACGCGCGGCGGCTTCTATTGAAATCACATACAACAATCGTTGCCGCCGCGCCGAAAAACGTTAAGCATTTGACACTATTTGATTGCCACCACAGGGCCTAGGTATACTCATGCAAAATTCTAATTTCGTGTCGTCCGTCCCACTCACGCTAATACTATAAAATATATGAGCGAGCGAGACGGAACGACACGAACTTCGATTTTCGAATTTTAGAGTACAGGTGTTCCAAAGAATAAATAAGTTTCAGAGTGCTTAGAATGGAAACGAATACATTATACAGATCACGTAAGTAGTATTATGATTAGATAATGGTAAGGATAGGTAGTAGATGTCATAATAATTTATTCTAGTAAGTATATATTATAATATTGATTATACGGGGTTTAACTAATTACTTAGGTACTATTATTGTACATTTAGTCAAAATATTTCTTAAATTTCTTAAGTTTTTACAAGAAAAAATAGCAAAAAAGTGGTCAAATATCACCCGTTTGATAAATATTGTAGCCACTTTTAAATATACTTTAAATGTGTAAAAAAATCTACAAAACTAATAAAATAATATAAAAAGTGTACCTACCTACTTATAAAATAAAAATTCTTTAAAATACAGTCAAGTTATTGTAATTAATTTGTTTTTTACATGTTTTAGCACATGTAAGCTTATAAAGCGTAAATGTTTATTAAGAAACAGTTACTACCATGGAAGACGACATATAGCTTAGTTGATAACCATGTGGCAGTTGATTTTTCGAATTTCTTATCAAATCTTCAGACATTTATTAATCTGATTGGTCTTTACTATGGCTATGTTAATTCAAGCTCACAATGTTCCAATTCTAATACGTTTTTCTAAGATCTAAAGTAAACTTTAATAAATAGCAATAGTCTTATAGGCAAGACTTGCAAGACTTTTGCTGCAAGACCAAGACCAGGTGTATTGGGGCAAGACCAAGACCAAGACTGGCTAAGTCTCGTCTTGTTCTTGAATTTGGGCAACACTAGTTATACAACATAGTTAACCAAATCTCTTATTATAATATTAATGCGGGATTTACACTACCTAATTTTAAGGGACCCTTATCCTGACTAAGGGTGGTGTAATGTGAGTTAGGGAGTAAGGGACCCGATCTAGGGCGTGCGGCGCGGTGGAATAATTGCTTACCCTAGTTAGGGGCCACGCCCACCCTTTCAATTGGGCTTTTAAAATTGGATAGTGTAAGTCCTGTAAAGTAATAACAATGTTTAAGTTCTCACCCTAAATAATGTCTCATCAGCTATAGAAAAACACCTATCTAGTTGTCCTTCAAGACTGTTGATTTCCTTTTGAAGTTGTCTTGTATCTTCGAGTATCTTTTTTATTTCCATATTTTGTTTATCAACATTACTAATTATTTCCAATATTCGTTTGGTATAAAGTGACCTAAAATCAGGAAAAGGCAAAAATTAATTACTACTTTTACAAATAGCCTACCTATAGGTTTTGTTGTCATTCAGTAACTTTGGTAATTTTCCAATTACAGAGCATAATGCGACTCAGTGGCGCACAATGCTGATGCTTAATTGGAACGTGAATTAGTTTTCAAATGCACCAGCAGAGTGCGCTAAGTTCACTGTTGAAAAAAAAGTTAATGTTTGTACCTTCATCCATACATAAATTTATTTTTTTAACACAGTTTGAATTAATTTTGATTAATTTAAAAAAATACAGTGAAACGAAAGCTTTAAAAAATTTTCAACAATAAATAATATTACTTTATATTATTGCAAAAAATGCTATTCTCGTGGATGTTCGATATTCTAATGATAATATATCTATCGTAGACATTCGTTCAATGCCGAATGCGTTCCGTTTTTCTCGATTAAGTTAACATCATAGTCTATATGAAATAATAATAAGTTAGAGCAGTATTTTACCAGCAAAAAAATTATATTTTAAATCTAATGAATTCCATTCATATTAAATATGAGTATACATTTTTTGAGTATAAGAACTCTCAACTTTACCTAAATTGTATGCGTATATAATTTCAACGTTATGTATAATGAAACGTCAATATTTTTTCAAGATTCTCCCTTTTTAGGGAAGGCAAAGGGAACAATGCACATACAGCCTAGTCTTTAGTTATATTAATCTTCTTTTTTTACATTAGAATGTCGGTGTGACGCATTCTAATGTTTCTTGGAGTGTTTGGCACGAAATGTATGAAGTTGCTTTTTTCGATAAGTTTCTGTGAATAGCGTATATTTTAAAGATTCCACTAATTCTTCAGTTGCGCAGACGGTTGTAACACCAAATCGCACCAATTTTATTTCACAATATCCACTATGAACGAATTTTAGAATAATTAAAATAAGACGCCAACCGCACTCGAAGAAATCCCGCCAAAAACTCCGCATTGTCAATAAGAAAACGTCATTCATAACTCTATTTGTCACGTTTTAGATTTCTAAGCAAATTGTTTAAACGTAATTTTTTATGAAGTGGGCGTCTCTCATTTTAAATGGGTCCTCCTGCTCTCACAACGGTGGCACCTTAGCACAGCAGCAGCAGTCACTTCGTTTATTAAATCATTGACGAAAACATGAATCAACACATCCATCGTTAATATATATTGTTTACCTACTTCTTTATTTACTAATTATTTAAGAAGGGAGTTAACACATCTTTAGGTAATAATAATTGGCAATGACACACGACAGCACAATAAATAATAGGTAAAAAGGGAAAATAACAAGATTGACAAGCCAAGATCCATAGATATTTATATATCGAAGGCTCTTTACCAGTCGATGTATGTCAACTGATCATCCGTAGATAAATATCTATTGCGACATGGTGAAAATAGGACAAAAAGGTTTTCCTTCGATAAAAGCCAGTTCATTCGATATATATCGAAGGTGATATAATATCTACGCCGCGAGAATTGGGCCCCTGGGCTTCAAAGTCCGGGTTTTTCACCAGTCTTGTGCTGGTTGCCAATATTTAGACATGCAACCCTATAATAGATCTACCTAAAAGTTATATAAACATACGTGAAACTTCGTCGATTTTCAAACTAAATTCGTTTCGACTTTTAAAAACTCATTTCCAAAATGGTTCCTGTTTAATTTTGTTAAATTCATGTAATAAAACCGGAGGCAGGTTAGAGAAATTATGTGACTTATTATTAAATTACCTTTTGTTGCCTCCCTTAGATTTCTCATAAATATTTTTTAATTGGTCTCTTGTTTCTTGGTTTTTCTTATAGTCTTCTTTCATACTTCTTGCCTCTTCCTTTAACATTTCTATAATCAATTGGCACTTACTTCTCTCTGACTGAAAATTTAATGCAATTTTTATAGTAGTAATGCAGCTGCTGGAATAATGTGTTTATGTGGGCTATTACCGCTGGTCCCACCAACATGTTCCCCCGGCGGTCCATGGGCAATTTTGTATACCCGTTGTCCGTTCTAAACCGTGTTACCCAGTGGGTCTACACGTAATTTATTTTTCCCATGGTCTCAAATCACTTAAGAACAGCCACCAAATATAATAGTCGTCCACTCGGGTGTTCTTCTAAGAGACAGAGGCGTCATATTTACTGGAGGGTTCGAAATTTCACCTTTCATCTTGAGAATAGGTTTTTAATCTTACACTGTAGATCAATTTTAGTTATTTGCAATAATTCACGAGTATTGACTACAAAAAACGATTCTGATCAAGGCCAGAAAATTATTAATTGAAAGTGATTATTACATTAAGGGTTATTCAAATGGAGCTAATTACAAGTGAGATTTCTGTTGGTGTAGCACTGGATATACAGGGTGTCCCAAAAAGTAGTGTCAAGCGCACAGTGTTTTATGGAACCAAAAAAATTTACATGTTCAGGTTCTTACATAAATAGATTATTTATACCCTAAAAAAGGCATGAGTTCAATTTACAGAAGTCTAACTCAAATACTTTTTGAGAAAAAACATCATGAATTTATCGTGACCTTTGACCTATGAAATCTAGAATATTTTTTTATAAAGTGAATATTAACAATATATTTTTTAAATAAATATGTATCAATCGGGCATAATCAGAAGTGTATAAACGCGTTTCTTTAGCTTAAAAAAATGCATTGGTTTGGGAGCAGCAATTTTTTTTTTGTATTTCGTATTTATTGTTTTTTCTCCCTAAAAACGAAAAAGTGGAACCTAGAACTTAGATAGAAATAAACCTACGGATGTGGTCTATCATACATAAATAAGCCACGTGTCACTTTTGCGGCGTTTAGAAGATATTAATTTTTAAATTTTTATGCTAGGGTTGACACCGAGTGTTTTATAAACCAAAAATATTTACACCTTAAGGTTTTTGCATAAATCAATTATTTAAACCCTAATAAAGGCAAGAGTTCCATTCCCAGATCACTATTTTAAATAAAAAAAAAGATATGAAGTAGCAAAGTTTTTGAAATTTGCGCATGAAAAAATTAACAATTTAATTTCCTCAAAAGACGGTTCCATATCTGTCCATGAGATATTTGCCACTTGCTAAGGAATTATTGATGGCATAATTTTGTAATTTTATTTTATTTATAAGTGTCCTAGTTTCCAAGAAATATAGTTTTTTTAAATTTCGGTTTTTAATTTTTTTCTCCAAAAATCGGCAAAAGTGGAACCTGGATTTAGTACAGAAAGGTTCTATAAGCCAAGTTCTATCACCCATAAAAAAATCAAGTTTCACTTTTGCGGTTTTAAGAAGTTATGACAGAATTTAGATAAAGGTCAACTTTCATGATATAGGGTTGAAAAATATGTCCGTTTTTATAGTTGGCACCCGATGACAGTAACAGTTCATAAAATCCTCATGCACGGTGAAGAAATTATTGCGTCCAGTGCACTGCCCATCGGTATGCTATCTGAACAAGCAGCTGAGTCCCGAAATAAATTTTGGCGTTCAGACAGAGAGCATCATTGCCGAAAAATGAACAGGAGAACCACAATGACGGACCTCTTTCACCGTGCCCTAGAATCATCAGACCCGTTTATTTCTATGGCAAATATCAGCCAACGTCGAAAATATTGTAAGCGATTTCCCTTGCCTTCAGCTGTTTGCGAGCTCTTACAACCAATTAATGCAGATCGATTGCCGTTATTCGAAGCAGAGGAAGATGCTGAAGATGAAGATTTTTCGAACGTCGCAAATGAAAGCAACCTAGAATTATTAAACGACGATGATTTATTTGTATAAAAGTTAAAGTAGAGGTGTTGCATAAAGAAGATGCCGGCAGGTGATGACACTATCCTAGATTGATTTTAAATGTGAATGAATTTCTAAATCCAAAATTTCATCACAATCGTTAGATCCGTTTCCGAGAAACCAATTACATACCAATATATTTATATAGGTACATTCAATAATTGCTCGTTTATAGTATAGGATGTGTGTTAAATTTTTTCAAACAACATAGTTTATTTTTTCTTTGCCATTTACCGTGTAAGGCAAAATTAAAATGTGGTCGTCAAAATTAAAACATAAAGTATTCCTACATTATCACATCTACATTAGGTAGGTAGTATATGTAAGTATATTGTATTCGTCTATAAGTACAACACTTATTCAATTATAATATAACATAATTTATTCAATTGATTGACGGTATTAATAACAAAAAAAATTAACATTTTCATTTAACTCATAGTTACCTTTGTGACAACCCTAGATCATGAAAGTTGACCTTTATCTAAATTCTGTCATAACTTCTTAAAACCGCAAAAGTGAAACTTGATTTTTTTATGGGTGATAGAACTTGGCTTATAGAACCTTTCTGTACTAAATCCAGGTTCCACTTTTGCCGATTTTTGGAGAAAAAAATTAAAAATCGAAATTTAAAAAAACTATATTTCTTGGAAACTAGGACACTTATAAATAAAATAAAATTACAAAATTATGCCATCAATAATTCCTTAGCAAGTGGCAAATATCTCATGGACAGATATGGAACCGTCCTTTGAGGAAATTAAATTGTTAATTTTTTCATGCGCAAATTTCAAAAACTTTGCTACTTCATATCTTTTTTTTTACTTAAAATAGTGATCTGGGAATTGAACTCTTGCCTTTATTAGGGTTTAAATAATTGATTTATGCAAAAACCTTAAGGTGTAAATATTTTTGGTTCTATAAAACACTGTGAAGCGGTAGTCCCGAGATAGAACACCCCTTGGGGAATCCGAACATATGGGGGTGTATGTCGGAACAACATCCGACATACACCCATGTATGTTCCGCGATTTTTTATAGTTTGCGAGTTATGATTTTTTTACTAAAATTTTGAGAATTAATGACCTAAACAACTTAAAAATTTAATAAAAAAAATTGGATGTCTTTTCCGAGATATTTTTTTTGCAAATCAATTTACTTGAATTGTACTTAAATGACTAATACCTTTGTCTTTGTAACAATGATGGAAGTTTAAAAAATGATGGTCAGTGAATTATCTCTTAAGATTTCAACTTTAAATTTAAAATCTTAATAGGTAGTTTCATGGCTCCTAAGTAAGTTTAAAAACTGCGCCAGACTCTCAGCTTTCATAATCATTTAAAAAAAGTAGTACTTAAAGGGCTACTTTTGCTAAAATCGGACTTCAAAGACAGTGAGGTGGAAAAATCTTAAAATTAGCGATTTGGTATCGAAGTTTTTTTTTGGCATTTTATCATTCCTAAAGTTAATTAGATTGTTAACTAATCGAAAACGGTTGCAAAAAAAGTAAGATTGTACTATTTTTAAGTTTAATTTAAAGTTTAAAAGAAGATTTTTTGAACTCGCTGTATTGTGTGATACCTAAAAATTAAATTTAGTTACAAAAATAAAATCTTTAAAAAGAAAAGCTAAATGAAACAAAAAGTAACTGCTATTTATTATTTATTACAAAAAGTTTTCAAAATGTCTCCCTTCCTGCTCAATACATATTCTGCACCTTCTAAAAAAGTTTTCTTTTAGCTGAATAAACGTTATTCTGTTATTTTTTATTGTTTCTTCTGCTTGTCGCAATTTCGTTCGTAATTCTTGAATATTTCTTATGTCTTTAGCGTAGACCAATTCTTTGTAATATCCTCAAACAAAGAAATCAATAGGGTTTAAGTCCGGGGATCGTGGGGGCCACGCAATGGGCCCTCCTCGCCCGATCCACTTGTCTCCAAACCTTTCATTTAAATGATGTCTGACGATGCTCGCGTAATGGCATGGAGCGCCGTCGTTTTGAAAAATCATTTTCCTCCGCGTTAAAAGGTCTACATCATCGAGTAAATTATTGAGATCTTGTCGTAAAAATTCCAAGTAGGACTCGCCATTCAATCCGTCTGGTAGTTCGAACGGACCAATCAGCTGTCCGTTTATTATGCCTGACCACAAGTTCACGCTGAATTGTTCTTGAAAATTTGAGTCTGGTGTGGATTTTCGCCGTTCCATGAGTGATAATTGTGATGTTAAAAATCCCACACCTTTTAAAGTGTGATTCATCGATCCACAAGATATTTTTGAAAAAAAAAAAACATTTTCAAAGAAAATATAACTAGAAAAAATTTCACGCGGACCAGGCAGCAGACGGGACTCGAACCCGCACCCTTCGCAATCCGGGCGAATGCACTGACCAATTATGCTACCGCGGCCCTCACGGACCGCGTCGAAATTCCTTCTAGCTATTCTTTAAGCTGCAAGGCAGCGCCATCTCTTCGCATTATAGGTAAACCCACAACCTATAATGCGAAGAGATGGCGCTGCCTTGCAGCTTAAAGAATAGCTAGAAGGAATTTCGACGCGGTCCGTGAGGGCCGCGGTAGCATAATTGGTCAGTGCATTCGCCCGGATTGCGAAGGGTGCGGGTTCGAGTCCCGTCTGCTGCCTGGTCCGCGTGAAATTTTTTCTAGTTATATTTTCTTTAGATTTAAACATCAAGCAGTTACATGCTTTAAAAATAATAAAAATTAAAACATTTTCAGCTTGACGCCGTAACATTTCTTGACAAAATGCCACTCTTCTCGGGTAATCTTCGGATTTGAGCTGCTGCACTCTTTGGATATGATATGGGTGAAAACCCTCTTGCTGGAGTATTCGATGTGCCTGTGACTTTGGGATTCCAATTCGATGTCCTAGGGTTCTTACACTAACGGACGGATCTCCAGCCACTTCTTCGAGCACTGATTCCACGGTATCTGGGTCTTGCAACTCATGTGGACGCCCCGATCTTGTGCCTGGTAGACGGCCTTCCGTTCCGAAGAGTTATGAACTTTTAAAATCATTCGATGGTGAGGCCAAGTTTCAGGCTGAGGTCCACCGCCATTTTGTACTT